CTTTCCCACTGGATTGCATGAAGTGTGTAATGCATCCGTTGCAGTTCTCTTGCGAGGAGCTGGTTTATTCTGCTGAGGGAGAAAACAAACTCTTGTCCTTTCACAGCAAACAAACCATTCCTCAAAGCATTCCAAGGCCTTCATCTGGGAGCAGCCCCTTAACGCGCTCGCTTTAACAACCCGGGCTTAATCCGTTCTCATTAGAACATTAGCCTGCATAAATATTTGGCCGGCTTCGCTGCAGCGAGCCCCGGGGGAGAGCCAAGGGATGGGGAGAGCTGCAGAGTGCTGGCAAGTCAATGAAGTTCCCTTTGGCAGCACAGGGATGGGGATGGAGCAGGGAAGTGCTGCTTGTCCCCTTGGGCAAGTCCTGCGGAGCAGGGTTGATAGTGCTGACCTGTCTGTTTGCGAGGGGAGCAGGAGGCGAGGCGCTGGTTTAAAACAGGCAGGTGAAGCCCTGCTGTGCTCAGCAGCAGCCTCCCAAAGGCACGAGAACGGACCCGGCTGCAAACAGTTCCCTGCCTGCTGCTAGCCACCGAGGAAGGAGCTAGAAGCTCTCCTTGGCGGAGCGTCAGCAGCAGAATTGCTAACGATGCGCCCGTTATAGAAACTTTTGGGTACTGGGGACACGCCAAGAAAAGAGCCCAGATTGACTCTGAGCTCTCAGCTGGTGCTCGCAGCGCTTCCACCTCGCCCGAGGAGCAGCACTGCCTTGACTCTCACACCGCAGGGGTGCGGGATGGACCCTCGAGCCGTCACCCCGGGGAGCCAGGAGGATGCTTCCCAGGATGCTGGGCCCATCCAGGAGCTCCTGCCCCACTCCAGCAGGTTGCTTTGGGTGTGTTTAGATGCTCGGGATGCGTTGCCACATCCCATCTCTGCACCAAAGGGCCTGGCCGACCTTGGTCCATATCGTCTCGTGCCATCAGTCAGCCTGATTGCAGTGAGATGCTATGGCCTAGTGCAATGAAGAGCTCTGGGGCCAGGGGAGGCAGAGGGACTCCAGGCTCTGATACCGTCTTGATCTGTTGATGCTGTGGTTTGCTTCTGCAGCAGCTCCTAGCTTATAGATTCATGGAATGGTTTGGGTCAGAAGGGAGCTTAAAGCTCCTCCTCTTCCAACCCCTGCCATGGGCAGGGGCACCTTCCGCTGGAGCAGCTTGCTCCAAGCCCCTGTGTCCACCCTGCCCTTGAGCACTGCCAGGGATGGGGCAGCCACAGCTTCTTCTCTTGGCACATCCCTTAGCAGCTGTAAAGGATGTGGATGGCATTAGGTCAGCTGGAAACCTCACTTATTCCCTTGGTGAGGGGATGCTGTGCTGTGAGCAGTGTAACAGTGCTTGCTCCGGGGAGAAGCGAGGAGCAGTTCTAAGGGATGGACAAGCTGGGGAGGATCCAATGGACTTCCCAAAACCAATCAAACCCATTTCTATCCTGTGCTGGGAAGCCCGCGCCAGGCTGGGGCCTTGCTGGGGCTTTGGCAGTTTTCCTTAGTTCTGGGATTGAATTCCTAAGGCGAGTGGGGCCAGCAAAGCCGGGCACTATCCGGCTTCCCTTCACCACCAGGAGGAAGTGCATTGCACACAGAGCTCCTCCATGCCCTGCAGCAGGCATGCCAACGGGATGGGGCTTTGCTCCGGCTCCATCCACAGCCAAGTGTGGGCATTCCCGGTAGGACACAGCCCCACGGCTGCCCCGGCGCTGCCGAAAACGCTGGGGCTCTGCATGTGTGCTGCTTCCATGTGTGCTGGTTTCCAAGGAAACCACTTGCTCTACATGTGTGTCGCTTAACACCCTATTTGCTTTCATTTGGATAAGTCTTTAATTCCTGTGCAGCCCCGCTCGGCGGGATCGATGGAGCTGTGTGTGTATCCTCAGCGCACAAATCCCTCTCCTGCAAAGTCCCTGCCTGCTCGGAGCTAGCTTCCTAAACCTGTGCCTAATTGGAATAGCTGCTTCTTCCTGCAGGAATAATGGGATCGAGCACGGCTGCTTCCCTCTAGAAACAATTAGCAGGGAAAACACGACGCGCTGTCATCTGCCACCGGCTCTGCCGCTTTGGCTCCGTTTCGGGTGTTGAAGCAGGGCAGGGTGCCTGAGCCCAGCGATGTGGGGTGCAAAGCTGGGGGGGGAGCAATGGATCCAGCTGCAGCACTGACCCCATGGGGAAGGCAGCAGCTCGTGGGGAAGGTTAAAGGTTGGTTGTGAAAGGCCTGGGAGAGCAGGGAACGGGGACCCTTGGAAGGGGGGACCCTTGGAAAGGTGACCTATGTGTGAGCCCAGTGCTGGCCCCATCGGTGTGACACTGGTGGGATGCACTGTGTGGAAAGGGTGACGAGTTGTTGGGGGTGCTTTGCTACCCCTCATTTTCAGCTGTCTTCACCCAAAATGGCTTTTTCTTCCCTCTCCCCCTGCAATGTAAGATGCTGCCCGTATTTTCTGCTCTAAACCCGCTTTCCTCCTTCCCAAAGCTCCCTGGGGCTGCTTCATGCTTGTGAAGCTGAGCAGCTCCCGTGTCACTCCGGGCTGGCTCCTCTTGGAGCCCTGACAGCAGCTAATGCTGTTAGCCTGTGTCGAGGAGGGATTTCAGCATTAAAATACCCCCAGCACTCGGGCTGCTCCATTGCTTGCAAGGCAAAACCAGCCCAAACGCACCCAAGCTGCATCTGGGGACGTGGGTCTGAGGGTTTGCCTGGGTTTGGGGGTGATTTGGGGCTGATGGGGTGGGATCGGTGCAGCTGGGCTGCTCGCATGGGATGCGACAGCACCTAAGCACCGGGAGATTAGCTCGGGTCGTGGAGGGCTTTGCTATCTTTAGGTGGAAGGGGAAGGATTGTGCCTCTTAGGGTGGCCTGCAGGTGATGAGAGAGGAAAATCCCTTGGTCCCAGCCTGGTGTGGGGGCACTGACCCCAGCTCCCATCCCTGTGGGGGTCTGGCCTCGCCAGCACCTTTCTAGGCCACAATCTGTCCCGCATTGTGAGCCTGCTGTTAACTCCCCTTGCACTCTATTCTCGTGTTTGCTGTTATTTTTTAACACTTCTTTTTTTCCCCCCCTTTTTTCCCTTTTTCCCCCGTTTTTCGTGCATGAAAGCACTCCCCTCTCCCCAGAGCCTGCCTGGAGCGAAGGCATGGTCTGTACAACTGCAATTATTTCCAAGAACAGATGGAGTGAGGAGCAGAAAGTCTGTTAATAGTAATAGAAATGCTACATGTTAACCTGGACAGCACACGATGACAGTCCCATGACTACACGTTCTGTTCCCACCAGCTGGGCTCCCGAGCGGAGACGAGAGCTTCAGAAGCGCCGCGCTCGGCTCCGCACCCTCCCCAAAGTTAGAGCTCAAATTCCTTCACACTTCCAGCGGGGATTTGGGGTTGGTTTGGGCTTCTTCCCCCACCCCCCCCTCCTCCTCCTCCTCCTTCCCATTAAGCGCCGGCGAGGAATAATGATGGGTTTTATCCGGGATGCTCAGGGATGCAGCTGGGAGGAGCATGGGGAGGGAGGGGGCAGCTCTGCTCCGAGGTCCTCATGCGGTAGCATCATCGCAACCCCTTTTCCATGAGCACATCTGTGTGCATCACCCCCCTGAAGTCAAATCATGGAATGGTTTGGGATGGAAGGGACCTTGCCACGGGCACCTTCCATTAGGGCAGGTTGCTCCCAGCCCCATCCAACCTGGCTTTGAGCGCTGCCAGGGATGAAGTGCTGATCCAGGTGGGAATCGGTGCACCAGGGCAGCAGCTCCCTGCTGGCTCTGCTCCCAGGCAGGGCGCTTGCGTGAGGTTGGGGTTTTCTCGGTGGCTGTTGCGAACCGTTTGCTAAATGGGTTGAAATCCTGGTTTTCTGGTTAAACCCGTGCGTGGCGCGGAGGTGGGGGCTGCAGGAGGGGCTGCAGGGGGCATGGAGCTATGGAAAAACCCCAGCCCTCCATTGCCCCATTTGCTCAAGCAGGGCTTGGGAAACGAGGCAATGGGGTTGTCTCAGCCCCTTTCGCCAGTCTCGCTGTGAAAATCCCTGCCTGGTGTCACAAGGGACAGGGGGATTTAGGCACAGAGCCCCAGCTAATTTCAGTGGGAATTGCATGGCTAAATCCTCCAGCCCTTTATGAAACCTCAGCCTCGGGCCGGCTGGAGCGGTGCATGGCACCGCTGGCGAGCTGACAGATGCACCTGGAGGTTTTATTAGGATATAGAGCCCTTAATCTGGGTGCTTGCAGGATAAGCTGGTGCCTGGGGTCCTGCCAAATCCTTTGAGATCAGCAGGTTTTCTATCCACAGCCTCCAGAGGTCACTTCAAACCCAGCTCCATCCTCAAGGGACCGGAATATCCACCTTGTCTTGCAGCACTGGTGGCACCTTTGGGGGCTGGACACCCTCAGTGGGGACCTGGGGTGGGCTTTGGGGTCGTAACCAGCATCATCTGTGAGTCCTGCTCCCTTTGCCCAGTTGCCATCACCCAGAGAGGTACCTGAGTGCATGGTGAGGCAGCGGCTTTGCCTTCTTGCAGCAACCCTGGAGCATCTTCTGGTTAGGTTGGGGTTTGTTAGGTAGAGCTTAACTCCTTGCAACCACCCCCATGGGGACTGGGGTGTCCGGGCTGTCCCCAGCCACCACCCCAAGGCTGGAGCTGCATTTGAATCCTAAAAATACCCCATTCCCCTCTCCAGGGATCACAGCCCTCAGCAGAAGTCCCCTGTGCTGTGGTGCGTCACTGCCCTGCGCCCCCATAGGATGTGGTTAGAGGATGGATGGCAGGGGATGAGGTCCTCTTTGGTGCCTTTTATTTGGAGGTAGCAGAAACCTGCCCTGGTCCTCCTCTGTTTGAAGAGGCTTTGGTCATCTTGAATGGGTTTGTGAGCCTTGTGTTCCCCTGGTGCACGTTCATCGCTCGCCTTCTGACCATAGCCTCACGGAGTGGTTTGTGTTGGAAGGGGCCTTGCTCACAGGGCGCGTGCTCCCAGCCCCACATCCATGCTCACAGCTCTCTCCTCTCTTGCAGAGCAAGAAGTACGTCCTGATGCTGGTGGACCCCGACGTTCCCAGCAGAGCCAACCCCAGGAGCCGCTTCTGGAGGCACTGGTTGGTCACCGACATCCCGGTGAGTGCCCCCCGCCGGGTCCGTGTGTTGGGGTCCCAGCAGCTCGCAGCGTTCCCAAGCTCTGGGGTGCGTTGTGTGTGGTTGGTTTCCCATGGGATGCGTGCTCTGTCGATACGGCAGCATCTTGGTGAAATCCCAAAGGATGAGAAATGTAAATGGTGCTCGGCGTGTAGGTAGAGGAGTGCTTCCTCAGGCTATATAGAGCAAAACTGGTCCAAAAATATTGCTGCTTGGGTTTGTTCCCTCCTTCTTCTTCTTCTTCTAAGGAAATGCTGAAAAAACACTGCTTTGAAAGCTCCCCACCACCGCTTTGCTCTGCAGACACTGGCGTTTCAGCCACCTCTTGGTTTTGGGGTGGAGAAGAGCAGTTTTGGTGAACTCGGTGCCAGATTTTCCCTTTCATTTATTTCTGGGGGGTGAGAAAAGCGTTTCCAAGCCGGGGAAGCAAACAGAGGGAAATGGGTTTGGGCTGAATTCCTGCTGCGTCCCGGTTCTAACATCCCAGTGTGTGCGGGCCACACAGACCGGATCTCACTGCTTTGCTTCCCAAAAGCTTTTGGAAGCTCAGTGTGTTCCTTGGCTGCTTGCTCTTAGCATTGAAGAGATGAGGTGTTCGAGCCCTGTATCAATCTAGCGAATAATCTTAGTACTAAAGTCTAATTAAGATATCAATTAATTTGCAGCGTGCATTTAACAAGAAATATCTCGTCATTCCCCTCTATTATTCTCTGAAATTACTGCTAAGGGCTTTCTGTACAGATACCTTCATTAGGCTTTGTATTGTTAATGGGAATATTAACCAAATTAAAATTGGATATTAATACTTCCCATGCAGTTCATAATTGGCTGAAAAACATAAAGCATCGGGGAGAATTGCAGAGATTTGTGTACAGGGTTTGAGGGGGGTTTATCCCTTAAATCCTTCACAGGAGCCTTCTGCATTGCTAACAGCAGGGTCCTGAAAGTCTCTCATTAATTCTAATATTTACTCAATGCAAAGAAGCCAAGCTCTTGGTTTCCTTTCTGTACACAGGTCCTTGGGAGGCAGTTGCTATGGCCAGTTCTTGTGGGTTTCCTTGCTTTTTAGTTGAGTACAAGATCATTGAAGAAGGGAAATGTGGGATTCAAACCAGTTCTCCAGTGCAAATGGAAAGGGTTTTTTCTCCCCCTGGCATCTGGGTGGTTGAGTTTGAAGTATAAAAGGTCGGAAAGCTCCTTGCTGGATCATGCACAAGGGGGAAAAGGGGGTTTTGGGGAAGGAGAAGGGCTTTCCCACCTCCAGGTGCCTTGTCTCTGGCAGGCCTGGGGTTGACCCCAACCCCAACTATCCCCTAACATTTCCTATCATGATATATAGGACTTGATGATCCTTATGGGTTCCTTTGAACTTGAGATATTCTATGCTTTTACCATTTATTGTATATTAAATATAGAGATGATATATAAAAATATAGATAATGATATATATATCCCACATATATATAGTGTGTATATATATCTCTGTCACGTACCCGCACACATATATGCATATAAATCGCCTTTGCACCCTAAGACACCCCCAATCCCAGCATCACCCTCGCAGGGCACCAGGACAGAGCCCTCTTGCCCCATCCCTGTGGTCAATCCTCACTGTCCGGGATGCAGAGAGGGGGTCCCAGCATCCCCCCCCCGGATCATTCCCGAATCTCTTCCGTGATGCCGTCGGCTCCCTGGGCTCAGACACATGGTGTCTCGTTGAAATGCAGATCGTTGGGGGGTATATGGAAGTCTTGGCTCCGAGGAGCTTCAGCTGACAGGCTTATTTGCACACTGGCTCTAAAATAACCGTGTAGGCTTTACATGACACCTTCTGTTGCTTTGGTGCAGAGAAGGGCTTGCAAGTGCCTTTCTCCAGGAGGGACGGGGCAGCCGGCGCGATGGTTGGGGGCTGTGAAAGCATCCCATCACCCCAGCATCACCCAGGCTTTGGCGTCCCCCAGGTTGGAGGGAAGCAGCCCTAAACCCCATTCTTGGTGCTGCAGTACGTTGGCACGTCCCCAGGGTTAGGTTTCGGCTCTCAGTTTGCTTGCCCAGGTGGGTTTTGGGGGACGGAGCATCCCCATCCCAGGGGTGCCGCTCGCCGTTCCTTACCCGCCGCTGCTCCGATTGTCAAACGCGAGAGATGCTTTCACTCCCATTCAAAATAATTTAAATAAAAATGTTGCTACAAAGTGGAATAATATCTTTTGATGAATGTTTTTAAAGCCCTTTAGGTTTTCATGGTAATTTGCAGTGTAAAATTATTTAGAGATAAGAGCCAAATTAGCTCTTATAGGCGGAGGTCGATATGTCCCGTTATCCATGCAAGCAGTGTTTAAATATAATCAGCCTTTACTCTAATGCAGCATAATTGTTCATTTGAAATAGCTTTTTTTTTTTTTTACTTCTCTTTTTTTTTTTTTTACTCCATTCAATGAGTCATTAAAATATTCAAAGGATAATGCAGTGAATTGGAAATGAATTTATCACATTATCCTGTATATACTGTAGAGCATCAGGTAACCAGGCAGAGTCGGAACCAGTTTACAGAGCAATCCAGTAAACAAGGCTTTCCATTTTGTATTCAGCGGGGGAAAGAGAAAAGAAGGGAGAAAATACTGCCCTTCAAATGGAAAGCTTTCCGTCTTTATTCCCCCTCCTCGGGGAGGAGGAAGGGGGAGGGAGAGCAGCGAATTTGTACTCCACTAAAGCCTTGCTGCTTTAACTTTATTTTTATCAAAATATGTTTGTAACAGAAAGTCGTTATGGAAACCAGTTCTGCCAGCCGGGAGGAACCCGGCGCCAGGCTGGAGCCGAGTGGGACCAGGCACTGCGGGATGGGGAGACTGGTGATGGTTCAGACTGGAGAAGAGAAGGCTCCATAAGGGGAGACCTTAGAGCGGCTCCTGTGCCTAAAGGGGCTGCAGGGAACCTGGAGAGGGGCTTGGGACAAGGGCCTGCAGGGACAGGCCAAGGGGAATGGCTTGAACCTGCCCGAGGGGAGACTGAGCTGAGCTCTTAGGCAGAAGCTCTTCCCTGTGAGGGTGCTGAGGCGCTGGCACAGGGTGCCCAGAGAAGCTGTGGCTGCCCCATCCCTGGCAGTGCTCAAGGCCAGGTTGGACACAGGGGCTTGGAGCAAGCTGCTCCAGTGGAAGGGGTTGGAACTGGATGAGCTTTAAGGTCCCTTCCAACCCAAACCATTCCATGATTCCCAGTGTGTCGGATGTGGTTGAAGTAGAGCTATTCCCACCCCATCACCATGGCACTGAACATCTCCTGCAGTGCGGTTGCTCCCATGGCTTTGCAGAGCACGGTGGGATTCCCTTGGGTGTTGGACCTGCACAGGTGGGTGCTGTGGGCCCAGAGCATCCCTGCTTGGTCCCAAAGGTCCCGGCACCACCAGCATCTTCGCCTGCTCCTGTGGTTGCATTTGTCAGCGCGTCTCTCCTCGCCGGCTGATAAACAGGCTCCGGGTTGCAAGTGTCACCATAGAAACAGGTGCTATCTTAAGCAAACAAGGGCTTTATTAACCTTAAAAGTTACAGGCTTTTTGCACGATTAGAGCCTGGGGAGGGAGCTCTGGGGGGCCGGCTGCTCGCCCAGGCACTTGGCCCCAGTGCGCATCCCTGGCCCCATCCCAAAGGGACACCGGTGCTGCAGAGCTAACTTTCCCCCCCCATAGTGTGTTTGTGCAGCGCATGGCTTGGGAGTCAAGTGTCTGCAATGTGCTTGGGTTTAGTAAAAATAACAGAGCAGCTGATAATTGCTGGCTACCGTCATCCTGCTCCTACGGCTGCGCTGGGGGTGCTTTGGCAGAGCACTTGGGATCCAGGAGCCTTCAGCATCCCCGCAGCACCAGCGCTGGCAGTGAGGAGAAAACTCTTGTGGGGCAGGGGATGCTTTTCAGTGGGTGAATCAATGCCAGTGGGGGAAAGAAACAGCTTTTGGGTATCCTACAGGCAGGAGGGATCCTCATTTTGGGAGATGCTGGAGCGCCGGGGCAGGTTTCTCATCCAGCATCCGTGGTCCCCATGTCACTGGGTCACTGGCTGGCTTGTTGGCACCATGGGATCAGCAATCCAGTGGGATCTGCTGCCCTGCATCCGGGGCAGATGTGATAGTGCTGGGGTGTTGCTCCTCCATGCTGCTCTCTCAACTCTGCTGTTTGGTGATTGAATGGAGGGTTTGCAAGGGAAAAGAACAGAGAGAAACGTTGGTTTACTTGATGACTTGGATCCTTGGAATAGCCTGTTCCATGGTGAGAGTTTCTGCTGCTGCCAGTTAATGAAGCCTTTATCAAGGAGAAACTGAAGAAGCAGAAGTGGTTGCTGCTTGAATGTAGTTTTCTTTGCTCTTCAAGCTGCTGTGGTCCTCCAGAGGCACGTGGCAAGGTCATGTACCCCAAAACACCTCACCCCGGCAGTGGTGGGACCCTTGGCACTGCTGCCTTGGCCAGGCCCTGGTGCCAGCCCTTAGTGCCCGCGTGTCCCTGATGGGTTTTGTGTTGGACAGGTTTCCCATGAGCAGTATCCCAAGTTGAGTGTCACCCGCTGTTATTCATGCTCGGCAAACAGATGGGGTTTAATTGCTGTTGCTTTCAGGCTCCCAGCAAATATCACATGAAGAGGGCTCTTTGGCTAATTGTTTTAAGATAAGAGTTCACAAGCGATGCACAGACATCACAGATGTGCTTTAGAGAGCAAAGTGCTTGCATTACCTTTAAACACGGTCTTCAGGCACCAGCAGCAGGATCAGGGAGTGAGTGCATGCTGCAAAACCACCCCAGGGCCTGGGGAAGGGGAGAAGGGTGAGAGCCCAGGGCGAGCAGGAGGTGATGAAAGTCTCTTTGCACAAGTGCATTGGTTGCACCAGCACATCTGCTTGCACAAGAGCGTGGCTTTGCATAAGCACATCAGTTTGCACAAGGCCATCGAGTTGGCCGCTGTGCTTCAGCCTCTTCACTGCACTAAAACCCCCTCCTT